CGCCCATCAATGGCTCCTCTTGTTTCTCCCTGGGCCCCCATGTTTTCCTAACCCCCACCCTGGCGCCTGACCCATGCGAAGGAGGCGGGGGGGGCTGCTGTGAAAGAGATTCTTTCTTTGGAGGCAAGGGGTTGGGCTGGGGGGACCCCCTGCGGGGGAGAAGGGGGGGGCTGGGGAGGGGTTATGGGGGTGCTGAGCGGGATGCTGAGCAGGATGCCAGGGTCTGTGCGGTGGAAGGGGCGAGCGGCCGGAGCAGCCGGGGGCTCAAGGCGAGATCTTGCCGGACACAGGCAACCAGGTGAGCTTGGGGATATTGGGGTGCCCTGGGGTGTCATCGTGGGTCCCTGGGGCTGTGTCATCCCCCCCCCCCCCCCCGTTGTCCCTGTCCCCATCCCCAACCTGCTCTCCAGAATCCCCTTTCCCTCTGCAGGGCTGGGGGTGGGTGGCAGAATCAACCCAAGCCCTTTTGGGGGGGTCATGGATGGAGCAGGGTGGGAGTGGGTGCAAGCAGGGCACCCAGATGGAGCAAAGCAGCTGAAGAGGGGCGCAGAGAAGACCAGGACCCCCCCCTCGCCCCCAGCAAGACCCTAGCTCCACAGCACTCAGTATCCCCCCAGCCTCAGAACTGGCAAACTCAATGCACTGTTTGCAACCAGAAGGAGCCCAGAAGCAGGCTGCCCCCCAAAACCCCCCCCCCCCCACCCCAAGACCACCACAGTCACCAGGACCAGGCTGGGATGGTTGCAGAGGGCCAAAAATAAAGCCGAAAAGCCACATCTCATCACTAAACAGCCACTTTATCAGCAGGGTCACCCCCAGGAAGGTGACAAAAACGCAGCCACCCACATTACCTGGAAAATAGGAAGAAGACACCTTTCTTTCTTTCTTTCCTTCCCCCTTCCATTCTCTTCCCTTCTGCCCCCCCCCAAAAAAAAGCTATAATGCTCCCACAGCTCTTATTTAAGGGTTTCATCAGGCCAGGTGGGACAGATGAGGTTGGAGGGGAAGGGAATAGGATGCAGGTGTCCTGTATTGTCCCACTGATACATACGGATGCTGATGACCCCCCCTCTAAGTATTGGTAGCCCACCCCAAAATGCTCCAGGCAATAGCCCGCTGCCGGGCTTTCATCCCCTGCAAAGTCGCCCCTAAAAGCATCATGATGCCCCTTCATCCATCCCCATCCCTGGGATTGTCCCCCCTCCGGCATCATCCCAGTGTCACCCGGGTACCCACCGCCCCGGCTCACTGCGGGAGGAGGGGGACGCGGGCACCATCCGGAGGACTGGGCATGGGGTTGATGCGTTGACCCGTGCGGACGTTGAACATGGGAAGGGTGGAAAGGGGCCGGGGGACATCCCGGCTGCTGGCCATGTGCCTCAGCTCCTCCGTGTCACCGTGGATGGTGGTGTGGTGGACCAGCTGGATGCTGAGGAAAAAGGACAACTGGGTGCTGCGCCCCGTGTTCCCACCCGCATCCCTTTAGAGAGGGGCTTGGGGGGGTCTGTCCCCCCATTATTAGGCTCTGTTCCCCATCATTGGGGTCTGCACCCCATCATTGGGGTCTGCACCCCATCATTGGGGTCTGTCCTCCATCACTGGGGTCTGCCCTCCGTCATTGGGGGGTCTGTCCACCCATCACTGGGGTCCACCACCCATCATTGGGGTCTTCCCCCCTATCATGGATATCTGCCTGCCCATCATTGGGGTCTGCCCCATCATCGGGGTCTGCTCCCCATCGCTGTGATCTGCTCCCCCATCATTGGGGTCCTCCTTGCTGGTGTTCGGCCGAGGCTATTGGAGAAGTAAAACGGCTCTTGTGCTCCAGCCTGTGTCTCTGGGGGGTTATTGGGGGGTGCTGAGGTGTGGGGAGAGGAGGAGGGGGGACCCTTTTGGGGTGGGGAGACCTTTAGGCTCCACCACTTCCATAACATCCTTCAGACAGCCGACCGCTCACCGTCCCCCTCTCCTCCCCATCGCCATCCCTGCTGGCCCTCCCCATGTGTGACCACGACAAAGCCCCCCCCCCCCCCCAGCCCCCCAGCACCCACGCGGCTCAACCCCAGGCACAGGGACTTACTCAGATGTCTCCGAGTCCCGTTTTTGCCTACAAAACAGAATAAAAAGGCGGAAAAAAAAAAAAGATGGTGAGAAGGGCTCTCACCAACCCCAGGTTGTCCTGGGGCCATGATGGCCAGGGAAGGGGCACCCAGCCCGGGGTGCACGTGCCCTGGCTGGGGTGGGGGGACCCCCACCCTGAGCGTGCCCCCCCAACTCACACTCCCTCCCTGCGGCAGCACATGAGGTGGCCCAGGAGCAGGCAGAGCAGCACGGCCACCGCCAGTGGCACCAGCAGCGTCACCAGGAACCCGGGCAGCAGGTCCTGGGGGGGGGCATCGGTGGGGGGCTGGAAATCCCCATCTTCCTCCAGCACCCCTGAACCCCACACCGGCCCCGAAGCCGTGGGGCTGGGCCAAACCTGCAGCTGTAACGGGGTGATGGTTAGTGGGGGGAGCAGGGGGGGTCCCCATGGGGGTTGGTGCACGGGATGGGGGGGCATGTGGGTCTCACCAGGGTGAGGTTGCACCAGCGGATGGTGAAATGGGGGGCGAAGGTGTCGTAGCAGGAGGCGAGGGGCTGCTGGCCCAGGCTGCAGCGGAAGCGGCTCTGCGGTGAGGCGGCCGACGCCAGGCACGGCGAGAAGGTGCCGTGGGAGCCCACCTTCACGTACACTCTGCCGGGGTGGGAGGCACCAGTTGGAGGTGACCCCCTCCAAAAAAAAACCCCAGGAGCAACGCCAGCACCCACCCCCCGGGTCTGCCCGTACCCCTCCTTGCGCCCCTCGATGGGCAGCGGGACGCGGCCGCCCCGGTCCAGAGCGGAGGTGATGTTGATGACATGGAGGTCATCCTGAGCCCAGACGCCGGCCGTGGCCTGGAGGAAGATCTCCTGCGCGGCCGCCGGCAGCAGCTCCTCCACGTTCCTGTTCCCCACCAGGAACTCGCCCTGGTACGGCGGGTCCCCACCTGGGGGGACACACATGGCACCCGTGGGGACACCCCACCACCATCCTGTGGTGGGTCCGGGACAGCCCGCTGCGATTTGGGGATGCAGAGTCCTTACCTGGAGCGGGGACGACGGTGATGACGAGGCGCTGTGCCACCGTCTCGTAGGTGTGCCGGTTGTATGCCAGCACCTGCAAACAGAGGAGAGACACCGCCCCCCCCCCAAAAAAAAATGCCAGCCCTCCTCCCCGTGTCACCCCCCTGGCATGGGGTCGCGAGGGTGGGCACCTACCTCAATGGTGTGGGTGCCCACCTCGGTGGCTGTGGGGCAACCGTAGAGGTAGGCTGGCTGGTGGGGGTCACGTTGGATGTACCGCAGCCACCGCGGCAGGTCGGGGTGGTCCCGGAGGTGGGCTTGGAAGGTGATGGGGGTGGCTGCTGGGTGCCAGGACACACGGACGGGTGGGGACGGACACAGACATGGGGGGACACATGCCACCAGGCTGTGCCAGGGGTGGACCCTCACCCCGCAAACCCTTCCCCATCCAACTGGTCCCAACAAGGAAGCATAACTGGTCCCTGCGCCGGCTGTGCCCCAGGAGGGTCCCGCTCCCCTTTTTGAGCTGAATGACCCCAAATGGAGATGACCCCCCAACGCCTCAGCGGTGGGGGAGGAAAGGGATGCTGCTCCCGGGTGGGTTTAACAGGGTGATGGGGTGGTGCGCGGGGGTCCCCAAATGGGCGAAGGGGTGGAGGGATGGATGGAGGGATGGATGGATATGTACAAGACTGGATGAATGGAGGGAGGGATGGACAGATGGCCCAGCTGGGGTCATGCCTGGTGGGGAGGAGGCATTGTCAGTGTCCCCCATTAACAGTCCCAGCCCCTCCCTCCCCCTCCCCCCCAAAACCAGGCACTGCAGGACAACCCCTCGTCCCCAATCCCCTCAGCCTGGCCCTCACCGTCATCATCCTCATGCCCGGCGAGGAACAGGTCCCGCTCCAGCTCGTGGACGAAGATGGCTCCGGTCTCGGAGGAGACACGGTGGTCAGGGAGGACATGGTGGTCAGGGAGGGTGGCCCGGGTCCCCCCCAGGGCCACAGCTGTGGACAGGCACAGGACTAGATCCGGGACTGGGGAACATGGCTCCTCCCTGCCTCAGTTTCCCCATTCCCCAGAGACCCCAGGATGACCTGCAGGTGCCCACAGACCCCCCCCCTTGGGACACCCGGCTGGGACAGAAACGTGTCCCTGTGGTGCCAGGCGTCCCAGGACAGGGGGGTGGGCTATATTTAGGAGGGAGTGGGAATGGGGACAGGGACGGGGATGGTGACAGCACCTTCCCTTGCCCTGGACCCATCATGGAGAGGTTCCACTCCGTCCCCCCTGTCCCAAACCCAGCTGGCACCAGGGACAGGACGGCTTTATTTAGCCCCGTCAGGTCACAGCCACATCCCCCCCCCCGCCGCCGTCCCTTCCCACCGGCAACCCCCATCCAAACCCCTCTCTGGGGGTCCCCCCCATTCCCTCCCCTCTGGGGGTACCCCTGGCCTGGCCGTGTCCCCTCTCTGGGGGGGGTGACGGGGTTCCCCCTCGCCTGCCAACACCCAGACCAGGAGCAGCTCGGGGGCCTCCATCTTCACCAGCACCCGGGAACGGGGCCAGGGCTGATTGACGGAGGCAGCGGGGCTGGCCTGGCCGGGG